AGGAAGGGAGGAGGTAGGGAGGGAGGGTGGAAAGCGGTTGGAGGGAGAGGGGAGAGTGGGGAGGGGAAGGAAGGAAGGGAGGAGGAAGGGAGTGAGGATGGAAAGCGGTTGGAGAAAGAGGGGAGAGAAGAGAGGAGAAGGAAGGGAGGGAGGGGGGGAAGGAGTAAAGATGGAAAGCGGTTGGAGGGAGAGGGGAGAGGGAAGGAAGAAGGAAAGAAGGAAGGGAGGAGAAGGAAGGAAGGGAGGGGAGGGAAAGGAGAAAGGCTGGAAAGCGGTTGGAGGAAGAGGGAAGGTAGGAGAGGGAGCATTTGGGTTGGGGTTTCCTTCCCTCGGTGAGGTGGAGGGGCAGAGAGAGAGAGGGATGGAGGGAGGGAAGGAGGGGAGGGGAGGGAAGGCAGAGGGGGTGAGGTGGAAGGGCGGAGGGAAACGGAAGGGAAGACAGGGTGGGGGGAGAGGAGGGGTCATTAGCGATGATGTTTTCCCTCCGTCGGTCACGTGGAGGGAGTAGGGTAGGGGGTTGAAAGGGGGGGGTAGGGCCAGGATTAGGGTGCGGGCTATTTTAGGGTGGCATTACGAACGAAAGAGAGAAATTAAGGGAAAAGAGCAAAAAGGGTGAAAAGGAAGGGGAATGAAAGGTGGGAGGAGAGAAAAAATGAGTGAGAAAGGCATTGAAGTCACGTAGGCGAGTATAGGACCTGTGAGGGAAGGGAGGGAGGGGAGGAGGAAGGAGAAGGGAGGGAGGGAAGAAGGGAAGGAAGGAGGAGGGAGAGAGGGAGGAAGGGAAGGAGAAGGGAGGGAGGGAAGAAGGGAAAGAAGAGGGAGGGAGGGAGGGAGTGAAGAAGGGAAGGAAGGAAGAGGGAGGAAGGGAGGGAGGGAGGGGTGCATGGTATTCCCTTCTTCGTTAATACTAAATAAAAAAATAAAAAAATAAATAAGATGTTGAGAATATAGATAAATGAGTAGATAATTAGATAAAATCGATGGCAGCTCATCATATTGCAAGGATGGCGAGGAACATGTGCCTAATTGCATGACGATAAAAGATGGGAATCGACAATAGAAAAAATAAATTGAAATAAAAATATAGAAAATAGAATAATAAGATAATAATGATAATGATGATTATAATAAAAAAAAACTTTGCTTGTTCTTATTTTACCGAACTCAGTCTGGATATAATGTAGGATTTTTGCCTTTAACCAAACTCTCTTTCTTTCTTTTTTCTTTCTTTCTTTCTTTATGTTTTCTCTTCATTAGTCTCTTTATGTCTTTCTTTCTTTTCTCTCTCTCTCTCTCTCTCTCTCTCTCTCTCTCTCTCTCTCTCTCTCTCTCTCTCTCTCTCTCTCTCTCTATCTATCTATCTATCTATCTCTATCTCTCCTCTCCTCTCTTTTTCTCTTTTTCTCTTTCTCTTTCTCTCTCTCTCTCTCTCTCTCTCTCTCTCTCTCTCTCTCTCTCTCTCTCTCTCTCTCTCTCTCTCTCTCTCTCTCTCTCTCTCTCTCTCTCTCTCCCTCTCTCTCTCCCCCTCCCTCCCTCCCTCCCTCCCTCCCTCCCTCCCTCCTTTCTCTCTTCCTCTCTTTCTCTCTTTCTCTCTTTCTCTTTCTCTCTTCCCCACCCAAACTCAACCCAAAGCAAACCAACTTAACCTCAACTTAACCCGACCGTTTTTTTATGTTGAGAGAGGGGGGGTAGGGGGCAGGAGGAAGGGGGAGGGAGACCGGAGGAGGGGAAGGGGAAGGGGGAGTGAGGGGGTGAGAGGGAGAGGAAGGAGGGAGGGAGAGGGAAGGGGAAAGAGAAAGCGAAACAGAGAGAGAAATGGAGAGAGAGAGAGACAAAGTCAGAGTCAGAGGGAGAGAAAGAGAAAGAAAGAATTAGACAGAGTCAGAGAAAGAGGAAAAGAGACAGAGAGAAAAAGAAAAAAAAAAAGATGAAAAGAAAAATCTTGCAGGTCACTGGCGTCCCGCGGGCGCTTCCTGGTCGAGGCTCAAGTGACCTTGAATTTTGTGAATATTTACTTGATCCCGTCGTCTTTGGGCGGCGATGCTCGTTTGTTTGTTCATAGGCTTGTTTATTTTTTCTCTTTGTTTACTGGCAGCTTGCTTTTTTTCTTTTTTTATTATTTTTATTTATTTATTTATTTATTTATTTATTTATTTATTTATTTATTCACGTCTTTTCTTCGTCTTTCCACCACTTTCATCTCTTTTGATTTAGTCTCGTTCTCTCACTGTTTTTATTCCAATTCCTTCCTTTCATGTTTTTTTTTTTCTTTCTCTCTCGTTTTTTTCTCTTTTTGATTTATCTAATTCTTTCCTCTTATTCTTTATTTTTCTTTCTGTCGTTTCTCTCTTTCGTTTCCGTGACATCGTGTCCTTGATCGTTTTTCGTTCATTCGCTTAATCAGTTGTTTTCTTTCCTTTCATTTCTAATTATTGTTTTTTCTTGTCAACTGCGTGGCTTTTCTTTCTTTCTTTCAGTTTTTCTTCCTTCCTTTCTTTCTTTATTTATTTATTTATTTCGGTCCTTTTTTCTTTCTTTCTTTCCATCCTTCTTTCTTTCTTTCTTCGTTCTTTCTTCATTCTTTTTATCCTTCTTTCTTTTTATTCTTCTTCCTTTCATTCTCTCTGCCCTTCTTTCTTTCTTTCATTATTTCATTCCTTCTGTCCTTATTTCTTCCTCTGTTTCATTCATTCCATCCTTGTCTCTCTCTTTTTAATTCTTTCTCTCCTTCTTTATTTCTTTATTTCATTCTTTCTATCCTTTCTTTCTTTTATTTTTCCCCTCCCTTTCTTCCTCCCCCTCTTCCTTTTCCTCCTCCTCCTCCTCTTCCTTTTCCTTCTCCTCCTCCTCTTCCTTTTCCTTTTCCTCCTCCTCTTCCTTTTACTCCTCCTCCTCCTCCTCCTCTTCCTTTCCCTCCTCCTTCTCCTTCTCCTCTTCTCACGCCATTTCCTTTTCCCTCCCCCTCCCCCACCTCTGTTTTCTTTTTCTTCTATTTTTTCTCTCCTTCCTCCCCTTCTTCCTTCTCCTTCTCATCTCCCCTCCCCCCTTTCGCCCCACATCCTCCCTCCCCCCATCCCCTCCCCACCCCCACCCCCCTTCTCCCCCACCCCCACGCCCACCCTCTATTCTCGCCTTGCTCTTATTTTTAGTGGACTTCGTTGTGTTAAGTTTAAATGTTCGGCGTCTTGCTCCCCCCCCCCTCCTCTCCCCACCCCCCCCCTCTGCCCCTCTCGCCTCTCCCCCCTCTCCCCCTCTCCTCTCCTCCTCTCCTCTCCTCCCCTCTCCCCCTCTCCTTTCCTTCCCTTCCCCCCTCTCCTCTCCTCCCCTCTCCCCCTCTCCTCTCCTCCCCTCTCCCCCTCTCCTCCTCTCTCTTACCCCCCAACCCCAGTGCTCGTCCCGTGACATATTTCTCGTCCCTCTCCTTCCCTTCTCCCCCCCCCCCCTTCCCTTTGGTCTTTCCATTTCCCATCCCCCTCTTCTCCTTCTTCTCTTCCTCTCTTCTCCTTCTTCTCCTCCTCTTCCTCCTCCTTTCGTTCCACAGTCTCTTCAGTCTTTTTCACTTCTCTGTTTCCTTTTCACTTGTCCTTCTACCTCTCTCCTTCCCTCCTTCCCCTCTCTTTCCCCTTTACCTCCCTCCGCCCCCTTCCCCTCCTCTTTCCTTCTCCTCCCTCCCTCCCCTTTCCCTCCCTTTCTTCCTTTTCTTTCCCTCCCTTTTTCCCTTTTCTTTCCTTCCCTCCGTCATCTTTCTATCCACTTTCCATCGCCTTTCTCCCCCTTCCTCCTTCCTCTTTCCCTTTCCTCTCTCCTTCTCTTCCCTCCCCCCCTTTTCCCTCCCTTCCTCCCTTTTCCCTCCCTTCCTCCCTCCTCTTTCCCTTTCCTCTTCGCCGTCCTCTTTCCCAACTCCCCACTATTTCTGGCGTGCGTCCGTTGTGGTTATGCGGTCCCTGTTATGTGGCGTCTGCATTCTCGTTTCCTTTCCCTCCTCCTCTTCGTTTTCCACTTACTCTTTCTCTTCCTCCTCATCTTCATCCTTCTCCCTCACTTCCTACTTTCTCCTACTCCTCTTCCTCCTCTTCCTCTTTCTCTATATCTTCCTTCTCCTCTTCCTCGTCCTTCTCTTCTTCCTCCTCCTTCTCTTCTTCATCCTCTTTCTCCTCTTCTTGTCTTCCTCTTCCTCTACATCTTCCCTTTCCTCCTCCTAATCTTCCTCCTCCTCCTCCTCCTCCTCCTCTGTTTTATTAAAGTTTTTGTTTTTTGCTCTTTCTTACTGGCGATATTCGTCTGTTTGTTTAAGTTTTAAGGATTTTGTTAAACGGAAAAACGTTTTAAAGGGAGAAGGGGGGGGGGATGGAAGGGAGGGGGAAGGGACGAAGAGAAAGAGAAGGAGAAGGAGAAGGTGGGAGAGGGAGAAGGAAAGAGAAAGAGAGAAAGAAAGAAAGAGCGTGCAGAAAATAGATAAAGGAAACGGGGAGGCAGAGAGATCGAAGCACATAAAAACGAAAGGATAAACAAACCCCCTTTGAAGGTGATAAAGGAAGCGAAGATGATCAAAGGGGAATTTAAGATAAAAAAGCGCGGAAGCAAAGATACGATTAGTTGGGACCTGCACGGTCGGGGGAGAGTGGGGGGGGGGGTCGTTCCGCTTGAGCTGCCATCTTTCTTGTTTCTACTGACTATCTTAGGTGTCCGTTTAGTCAGAATCAGGGAGAGGAAAGTGTCCTTTTCGTCAAAATCAGCTGTTAATGTTACACAAACTGTTGGAATTTCTTTTCGGTTATATGTGCTTTGTTTTACACGCATACACACATAGACATGCACGCACACGCACACAAACACACACACACGCACAAACACACTCACACACGCACAAACACACACACACACGCACAAACACACACACACACGCACAAACACACACACACTCACTCACTCACTCACTCACTCACTCACTCACTCAGTCTCCATTGCAGATTCCTCATTGCAATTTCTTTTCGTTGCAGGCGGAAGGAACGTGTTGCAGCTGCTGTTAAGTTTCGCGGTGGGCGGCCTCCTGGGCGACGTGTTCCTGCACCTGCTGCCGGAGGCGTGGAGCATGGCGCTGGACGGTAGGGTCGGGTGTTTCGTGGGGGCCTTCCTGTCTTCCTGTCTTCTTGTCTGCCTGTCTTCTTGTCTTTTTGTCTTCTTGTCTTCTTGTCTTCTTGTCTTCTTGTCTTCCTGTCTTCTTGTCTTCTTGTCTTTTTGTCTTCCTATCTGCCTGTCTTCTTGTCTTGTCTTCTTGAGTTCTTGTCTTCTTGTCTTCTTGTCTTCTTGTCTTCTTGTCTTCTTGTCTTCTTGTCTTCTTGTCTTCTTGTCTTCTTGTCTTCTTGTCTTCTTGTCTTCTTGTCTTCTTGTCTTCTTGTCTTCTTGTCTTCTTGTCTTCTTGTCTTCTTGTCTTCTTGTCTTCTTGTCTTCTTGTCTTCTTGTCTTCTTGTCTTCTTGTCTTCTTGTCTTCTTGTCTTCTTGTCTTCTTGTCTTCTTGTCTTCTTGTCTTCTTGTCTTCTTGTCTTCTTGTCTTCTTGTCTTCTTGTCTTCTTGTCTTCTTGTCTTCTTGTCTTCTTGTCTTCTTGTCTTCTTGTCTTCTTGTCTTCTTGTCTTCTTGTCTTCTTGTCTTCTTGTCTTCTTGTCTTCTTGTCTTCTTGTCTTCTTGTCTTCTTGTCTTCTTGTCTTCTTGTCTTCTTGTCTTCTTGTCTTCTTGTCTTCTTGTCTTCTTGTCTTCTTGTCTTCTTGTCTTCTTGTCTTCTTGTCTTCTTGTCTTCTTGTCTTCTTGTCTTCTTGTCTTCTTGTCTTCTTGTCTTCTTGTCTTCTTGTCTTCTTGTCTTCTTGTCTTCTTGTCTTCTTGTCTTCTTGTCTTCTTGTCTTCTTGTCTTCTTGTCTTCTTGTCTTCTTGTCTTCTTGTCTTCTTGTCTTCTTGTCTTCTTGTCTTCTTGTCTTCTTGTCTTCTTGTCTTCTTGTCTTCTTGTCTTCTTGTCTTCTTGTCTTCTTGTCTTCTTGTCTTCTTGTCTTCTTGTCTTCTTGTCTTCTTGTCTTCTTGTCTTCTTGTCTTCTTGTCTTCCTGTCTTCTTGTCTTCTTGTCTTCTTGTCTTCTTGTCTGCCTGTCTTCTTGTCTTGTCTTCTTGAGTTCTTGTCTTCCTTCCCTTGCTTCCTCTTTCTGTACTTTCTCTTCCTTTGCTTTCTTCTCCCTTTTCCTTTCCCTCTCTCTTTCTCTTCTACTTTCTCTTCCCTACTCTTCCTTCCTCCTTCCCTCCACTATCCCTTTTTCCCTCCCTCCTTCCCAACATCCCATCACTTTTCACAATGAAGCATGTTACAAATTATTCTTTTTACATTATTATTATGTAGTTCATCTTATCACTCATAATTTGATTATTGTTAATTCTTCAGTTAATGTGTGATTCCCCTATTAATTTGCATATTATAATTGCAGCTGGGGCAGGTACCCATGAGGCCTTCACTCAAGTGGGTCTTTGCGTGTTGGCTGGAATCTTCGTGTTCATCATAGTGGAGATGATGGCTTCAAACGAGTCTCCCGAGCCACAGAATAATAACTCTAAGGAAAAAATTGGGGAAAATAAGAAAGATGTTAGTGTTTTTCTTCTTCTTTCTCTCTCTTTTTTTTTTATTGTGATTCTTACACTTTTGGTAATCAGTAACAAGTTTAATTTCTGAAGTCAAGCTAGAAAAGTAAGATTGTTGATATATATATGTGAAAGCAACATGTGTGCTACTATTTTAACTTGCAAGTAGAAGGCTTAACTGATTCCTTCCTCACTCTTTTTTTTTTTTAATTGGAATATAAATGCCTAAAAGGAAATATATCTCTTACAATTCTTTATCCAACAGGTAACTGGCTACTTAAACCTTATAGCAAATGGTATTGACAACTTTACTCACGGACTGGCCGTAGCCGGTTCATTCATGGTTTCCTACAAGACGGGAATACTTACAACTGGTGCTATACTCATTCACGAAATCCCCCATGAGATTGGGGACTTTGCCATTCTACTTAAGTCTGGTAAGTTGGGTTGACATACTAGGTTGACTGGAGGTTTTTATGAGGATATGTAATGATTTTTTCTTTTTCTTTTTTATGCAGATAATTATAGTATGATGATATTTTTTTCTTCTTCTTTTACCCTTTTTTTTTGTAATTTTCTTGCATTGGTGGATAACTAGCCTTTTATCTATTATAAAGACTTTTCTTACCTAAATTAATAACAAATATATTGAATTAAACTCCAAAGCCTAAAGCCACGCCATGCTTACAGGTTTTAGCCGCTGGGAGGCAACACTGGCACAACTTTACACTGCAGGAGTTGGCTTACTGGGTGCACTCTTCACACTCTTCATTGGTACTACTGAGGCCCTTGGTGAGTATGAGTGATGTGTATTCTTGTATATGATTGTATAAGTATGCATTTGCCTTCACTTTGTTCTTTACTGTTATTTATATTTAAGTAGTAGTTTGTTATTGGTGTTATTTTTGGTCACATACACAAGTCTATCCAGTTATTATTCAGGAATTAGGGATCAGCTTAGACTTACAATTTTAGAATAGAAATCTACCATGTGTACAACAATATGATTACCAGAAAATTTAATCATGTCTCATTTATGTTGCTTTCTTCTTGGCCACTGAACATCTTTTAAAAGATTTTATTGATCTTTTTTCCTTTTTGCATTTCATTTGTCTGTTTTGTTTTTCAGCGGGGGTACAAGTGTACATCCTTGCCTTTACTGCAGGAGGCTTCCTCAACATCGCTCTTGTGACTGTACTGCCAGAGCTTTTGCAGGAGGAACGCCCTGCTCAGTCTTGCGCACAGCTGCTGTGTCTCCTTTTGGGTACCTTCACCATGGCCACAGTCGCTACCACATGCTGAAGGACAGGCATACTTCAGTTTTCTCTTCCGTCTTGTCTTGTGTTCTAGGGGCTGTGATGTCCTCATGCCTGTCGAGGAGAGCTGGTCAATTTTTCCTAGTTGGTTAGGAGTAATATTTTTTTCGTCTCCCAAGTGTAGAGAAATAGTGTTAGAATTTTAATATGTTTCTTTCATATAGACTGCAGGTATAATGTAGTGATGTGTTCTGCATGGATAGAAAGTTCAGAAAGAGTTATACTGGATTTCTTTTGTCTCTCTTTTTTGTATTTTACATTACATATCATAAAAGGAAGAAAATAGATGAAAAACATGGTAATGTGAATATACAAATTTCCAGGTTGTGTTGAAGAAGGGGTGAATCATATAGTTCAACTCTACTAATATTATTGGTCCTGAAGTCCAGTGGTTTCACCACATTCAACTTTACTAACCAAGTTGTGAGTGAGTGAGTCCCAGACACATGTAAAGAAGAAATGCAGGTCTTATAACACAGTGGCCTCGTGCAAAGGCATCAGTCAGGAAAGTGATGCCAGGTTCCACTTAAAGGCCTTCATATTAGAAATGAGGACCATAGCCATATACAGTGCAACTTCCTATCTGCAGTGTTTACAAAGCATTTATACAGCAAGATTATATATCCTTGCAATGTGAAGAAACCTCTCACTATTAAATACAAAAATAGATATGTTATAAAGACATGATAAGTAGATATATAACTTTATTAAATCTAACCAAACATTTCACAGAACAAACTCTTATACATTTCAGTGAAGTACTTCTAGATGAGTAAGATTGTGACATGAATCCAATGTTCCATTTCTACTGAAGGAATTTTACATCTCTAGCATATTCAGTTCAATATTTTCATTGAAGATAGACATCTGTGTATATATTTAGAATTTAGACCTCAATTCACATTTTCATTGAAGCACCATCGATAATATATTCTTGGATTTAAGACAAATACTTTGGATATTCGGAAAATGTTATTTTGATGCAACATTTTAGATAAAATGCAGAGGTGGCATGTCTTTTTTTTAACTAATTTGAAATTTGATAATATATAGTATATTACACATTTCTTGCACATTCATTCATTGATACCTAGAAGATATTAGCTTTTATTGCAGAGTAAGACCTGAGCTGTGTATATAGCAGCTAATAATTCAAACCTGTAGTTTAGTAGACATTCGAAAGTTACTCTTTCAAAATTAGTTTTTAGAAACAGATTTAGAAATTCAGAAACAGATATGTGGCTGTGAAAACCTTCATTTACTATTATATATATATATATATATATATATATATATATATATATATATATATATATATATATATATATATATATATATATATATATA